ATAATTAAAAATCAATTTGCAACATTTAAAATGTAAAAACATTATAACTCTAAATAAAAAACATTTTTTTACTGACCTGTTAGTTTTTGCGCTACAAAAAAAAAAAAGGAGAACTCCGCTTCTATCTGCCGGGCAAAGCTGATGCTGCTGCTGCTGCTGGAACACACAGATAGAGTACAATTAAAAATATATTTATAAAAATTACATTAAACAGAATTAAACAAGATAAAAACACATTTACATACCTTTAAGTTTGACAGATGTTGGAGCAGAGTGACGGTTCTTCTCGCTGTTGACAGTACATTTAAATATATATATATTTATATAAATTACATTAAACAGAATTAAACAAAATAAAATACGAACCTTTAAATTTAAGTTTGGCGTTGCGTAACGCTGTTGGTGGAACGCTGAGACGTTCACGCTGTTGACAGACAGAGTACATTTAAATATATATATATTTAAATAAATACTTTAAACGGAATTAAACTGAATAAAATAAATACGAACCTTTAAAAATCTACTTCAGATGCAGGGGCGGTCATGCCGGGGGGTCTTGTCCGCGCTGATGGAAGTCGTGACGGGTCAGGAACGCTGAAGATGCCTTGTCGCCGACGGTGGTACTGAATGAACGAGACACGTTCTTTTAAATGCTTCGAGAACTGAGGAGGGGCGGGAATTAATGCTTTAAACATGATCTGATTGGTCGAGGGGTGGGTCTAAAGTTTAACCCTAACCACTGATTGGACGATAAGTTTCACCAACTGGCAGGAAGTCACGAACCCCTGAGAGGGAGGGTGAACGACAGATGGCATGTGTGGACACCTGCTGAAAACAGGATGTTGTGCTCGGTAGAATAGACTTGATGGCACCTCAAACTCTTTTGCAATTAAAACATCTGGATAAAAACAAGTTGTTGTGGTCAAGGCTTACAATAATTCGAGGGGGGTAAGAGGGGAAAAGGAGAGGGAGGGTGAACAAACAGATGGCATGTGTGGACACATGTTGAAAAACAGGATGTTGTGGTCGGTAGAATAGACTTCATGGCACCTCAAACTCTTTTGCAATTAAAACATCTGGACAAAAACATAATGTTGTGGTCATAGTTTACAGTTATTCGAGGGGGAAAGAGGGGGCTAGGGTTACGAAAATCGAAGGGGAAAAGGTGGGTAGGGGTTACTGGAAGTCAAGGGGGAGGAGGGAGGGGGATAGTTAAGGTAAATCAAAAGAGGAAGTCACGAAACGGATGTTGACCACATATGGACATCCTACAGGAAGGAATGACCGGATGTTGACCATATACGGATGTCCCGCCCTAAAGGGGCGTGGTACCTGTCACTTTTAGTATTGCGACATTTTTAATTAGTTGACGAATGCATGTGTATAATTTCTCTAGTAATGCTTATCAAATAGAAGCAATAAAAACAAAAATATAAGCAGTGACTAAAACATCTACTCTGTTATCATTATCTCATAAAAGTCTAAAGATAATCAGAGACAACAAATGCAGAATTATCATAAGCTAAATTAGAGAGCCCTTAAAAATAAAGACAAAAAGTCAAACATAAAGGGTTTAAACATTGGAATTATACATATTGAAAAAAAAACGACAACATAAGTTTAGTTTTATTTTATTTTTTTTTATCAACACACAGCAAATATCTATGAGAATAGGAACCACATTGGTTTCCCAGAAGAAAGGAAAGGCAAAGCTTTTCTTTTTATTAAAGCACTCAGCAAAGCTGAAATTATAAATGTGGGAAAAGGAGAGGTTTGACCCCAGGTGGTCAAATGTCAACCAGTGGGGAGGTGAGGTGAGGGGTTTCACTACAGGAACAAGCAGTGTGGTCAGAAAATGCAATAATGGAGGTGGAAATTAGGAAGGCAATTTCAGTAATGAGGGCAGAGAAATTCCATGTTATGATGACATTTCTGCCAAATATTACAAAAAGTACATTCTTACCCATCTTACAAAACATGTATCGGGAGATTTTCGTCAGAAGGGCAAGTTACTTTTTAAAATTAAAATGATCAGTTATATGCTTTATGCTTTACAGATAAGGACAGTACAGACATTTATAAAACAATCAGTGCTCAAAAGTCCTTCCCAGCATCATACATCCAACAGGTTTTATGAAAAAAAAAAAAAAAACCTCTGATAACATTAGAAAACTGTTGTATGAAAGATGAGCCAGTAACTGCCATGGAAAAGATGTTCAATAAAGTTGAATGGGGCTTTCTTTTCTTGGCTTTATCAAATTTTTAATTTAGACACTTTTATGCTAAATGGGTTAAAATACTGTATAAGGATCTTTAGTTGTAGAGAGACATGTTATTTCAGATGTACATTGTGAAAAAAATTAATGTTTTTTTTATAGAATAGCTTTACCATTTCCTGTAAACTGAGCATCACAAGTAAATAAAGTTCTTTGCTCGCTGCAAAGCAAATTGCCCTTTGGGACAATAAAATTTATCCAATGTAAAATATAGTAATTAAATCTAAATCTTGTAACTTCAGCAGCTTTGATCTGATCAGATCTGTTGTTAGTGCAGGAACATACGTTAATATAAACTCTGTGGAGCTTTTAGGTAACCATAAATCCATTAGTTGAAGGATGTTCTTATGGAATAATCAGCATCTATAAAAGAGGAAAAAGAGCAATTCTGAAGAAATTCACTCCGTGATTAGACTACAGGGTGTATCAGAAAAATGATACTCTGAAAAATCGCCAAAAAAATTAACAAAGATAACAATTTTGAAAATGTGAGTGTAACCTTTGGTAGAGGGGATCATTCTGCTTCGAATGACACCAAAATCTTAGTTAACGCTTCACGCTCCAGTGAGCAGGGACAGTTGGAAAATCACAAAGGTTTCCAATGGAAACTCATTGGAACCGCTCAAGGACAGTGCAAACACTTCGTTTGGAGGTATTTAGTAACCAGGAAAGACCTCTGCTGAGCGGTGAACTGTGGTCGGGCCATTTTACAGAGAGACAACTGCACATGTGCTGACAGGTTTTATGTCCAGGAATTATGCAATTGTCTGCATAAGATAAGGTGATGTTTGTGATCATGTTTTTTTAATGAAAGAAAATGACCACAAGATCACATGAACTTGTACCAGGTTATGGAATAATGACATGTAATACCCATGTGCATTTACATGTAATGAACATGTACAGTACATTACATGTAATGTTAGTTGGCTGGATTGACTTGTCCATGGCCACTTCACTTGTTTGTTAACCCTTGGGTATGATTCACTCTATTACGATTTTTTTGTTTCAACATTAGGACATGAAAGGGTTAATAATTTTAAAAACGCCTTGGCAAGTGTGTAAAACACCATCTAAACTTTTAATTTTATGTGACAGATCGTATTTTAACCCTCACATTTCCTTGCGCAAAAGACATGAATTTTGTGAATTTCCAACTGTCCCTGCTCACTGGAGCATGAAGCGTTAACTAAGATATTGGTGTTATTCGAAGCAAAATGATCCCCTCTACCAAAGGTTATGCCCATATTTTCAAAATTATTATCTAGTTTTATGGTGATTTTTCTCAGAGTATAATTTTTTTTCTGATACACCCTGTATAAAAAAATCAAACACATGATAAATACTGTTTCTGGTATTTTTTCCATGCTCTTCGAAAACAGTATTTTTTTAAATCAAGAGCTTAATTATTTTATTTTGGAACAACTGTAATATAGGTTCGTGGTAACCAAAATGTTCACCTATTTTTGTGATTTTAGGCTTTCCAGGATCGCTGATTTATTTTCCGCCACCAGTTTTTTATGCTCTTTCTCCAACATCTGCCCCACATCTCCCCTCCTCACCTCTTCCCAGTCCTCCTTTGTCTACAAGAAACAAAACAAACGAAAAATTACAACAAAAACCAGAAAACAGTCATGGAACAACCTGTAAGGTCCATTCTTTGTTCTTTTTGTTCCAAAATAAAATTGCAAAAAGAAAACAATTGTGTCATTTTTTAATTTTTCTGTTTTCAAAACCTAAATGTAAAAATGAAAAATCAAACTACTGAAATAATCCAGTTTGATTTTTGCTTTACTTGACTAAATTAAAAATAAGATACATAGTTGTTGTTTTAGTATGTAGAGATACCCGAAATGACAGCAGTCATCAGAGAAGAAGTGTTTATAGTGGCTACAAAAGAAACCATTCCTAAAGATATTGGCTGCACTCAAACCCTATTTTGCATAACTTGAAATATTGAAGCAATTTTGCTCACGGTAAGATCAACTTCCTCTAAATAACACTTTTGTCCATGTCTAAAGAGCCTAGTGAAAATATAACGCCCCAGGAGCTCAGACAATGATTTCCAGTTCCACCAGAAAGTAATAATGCTGCGCTAGCAAATATAAAACTATTCTTTAGCCTCTTTCACAGGACAGTTCTGCTAAATTGCCGCACCCACCAGTTCAGTTTTAAGCTCCCTTGGTTCATACTGCGTGTCAGCGTTAGGAACTATATTTTCACCTATTTCTTTTATTTCTTTCCCCCAAGTTTGACATTTCATAAGAGAGATGGATGTGGAGGAACATCTGCTAAAATAGCCCTTGATGTGATCTGGTGTTATTTAGATTAAAATGTCTATATGCTGTGAAATTCTTGTGTATGGCTGAGCTTGGATAATGGTATGGGAAACGCTAAAAACCAAAAACAAACTAYGAATATGCAATGCTTTTACTTTAGAATAATATAGAACAAACAATAAAGCCACTTTTTTTAAAATGACACATGCAATATTAATTTGAATTTCATTAACTGCATGTCAGGTTTTTCACCAGCAAAATGGAGGAAGATGTGGATTTTTTTCATGACAGTCTGAACATGACAAATCTGATTACTCTCCCAAAATACAACCAAGTTCTTTTTAGTTTGTGGTACTAAATCAGATACAGTGCATCCGGAAAGTATTCACAGCGCTCCACTTTTTCCACATTTTGTTATGTCTGTCCGTCCATTTTCTGGCACTTATCCGGAATCGGGTCGCAGGGGCAGCAGCCTAAGCAGAGAGACCCAGACTTCCCACTCCCCAGCCAGTGGGCCAGCTCGTCCGGGGGAATCCCAAGGCGTTCCCAGGCCAGTTGAGAAACATAGTCCCTCCAGTGTGTCCTCGGTCTTCCTCTGGGCCTCCTCCCAGTGGGACATGCCCGGAACACCTCACCAGGGAGGCGACCAGGAGGCATCCTAACCAGATGCCCGAACCACCTTAAAGAGTAACTTACCCCAAAATTAACTTTTTTTAGCTGATAAACTGTCTAGAATGTGTCTAAAATGTTATATAGTACTGTTTCTGTGCTAATTTTGATGTTTTTCTGTGTATTTGTTCAAATCTGTAATATTTGGTCTAAAAACGTCTTTTTGCTGCGCATATGGGTGGAGCAGTGGTACTGCAGGCTAATTTGCATATTGGTTAACGGCTCTCCACTGTGACGTGGTTCTGCACAGTTTCGTCACAGCGGCTGTGCTCTGTTAAATAAACCTCTCTCTAAGACACGCCCCTGCAGCAGTCAGAGGGTGGAGCTGTTAGCAAGCTTAGCATGATCGTTTGTTGACCTTCAGCCTCGGGTGGGGAGAGGAGCTGGCTGCTCTCTCTCTCCCTCTCTCTGTCTCTCCACACACACACACTATCTAACATGTTTATCTAACATGTCAGAGCCTATAGGATGATTTAAAAAACAATACATAACATCAAACAGCCATCTTCCAACCCGTTCTGCCTCTAGAAATAAGTTACTTTTCCCCCTCTCCTTTCCTCCTGCTTCACAGCGCTTTCATGTCCGCAGCTCCTCATCCTGGCCGCTTCACACTCGGCTGCGAACCCCTCCAGTGAGAGCTGGAGATCACGATATGATGAAGCTAATAGGACCACGTCATCCGCAAAAAGCAGAGATGTGATCCTAAGGTCACCAAAATGGAACCCCTCAACACCTTGGCTGTGCCTAGAAATTCTGTCCATAAAAGTTATGAACAGAATCAGTGACAAAGGGCAACCTTGGTGCAGTCCAACTCTCACCGGAAAAGAGTCCGACTTACTACCAGCAATGCGGACCAAGCTCTGGCACCGGTCATACAGGGACCTAATAGCTCGTATCAATGGGCCTGGTACCCCATACTCCCGGAGTCCCCACGGTCGAACGCCTTCTCCAAGTCCACAAAACACATGTAGACTGGTTGGACAAGCTCCCACGCACCCTCCAGGACCCTGCTGATGATGAAGAGCAGGTCCGCTGTTCCACAACCAGGACAAAAACCACACTGCTTTTCCTGAATCCGAGATTCGACTATCCGACGGACCCTCCTCTCCAGAACCCCCAAACAGACCTTACCAGGGAGGCTCAGAAGTGTGATCCCCCTATAGTTGGAACACACTCTGCGGTCCCCCTTTTTAAATAGGGAGACCACCACCCAGGTCTGCCAATCCAGGGGAACTGCCCCCGATGTCCAGGCAATATTGTAGAGTCGCATCAACCAATGCAACACCACAACATCCAGAGCCTTAAGGGACTCCGGGCGAATCTCATCCATCCCCGGTGCCCTGCCACCGAGGAACTTTTTAACCACCTCGGTGACCTCGGCACCGGAGWTTGGAGAGTCCAACCCAGGGTCCCCAGGCTCTGCTTCCTCATGGGAAGACATGTTGGTAGGATTGAGGAGGTCTTCAAAGTATTCCGCCCACCGACCCACAACATCCCGAGTTGAGGTCAGCAGCGCACTATCCCCACCATAAATAGTGTTGGTGGCGAACCGCTCCCCCCCCACGGAGACGCCGGATGGTGGACCAGAATCACCCCGAAGCTGTATGGAAGTCCTTCTCCATGGCCTCTCTCTGAACTCCTCCCACGCCCGAGTTTTTGCCTCAGCGACCACCCAAGCCGCAAACCGCTTGGACTGCCGATACCTATCGGCTGCTTCCGGAGTCCCACAGGCCAAAAAGATCCAATATGACTCCTTAAGGCTGACAGCATCCCTCACTGCCGGTGTCCACCAGTGGGTTTGAGGGTTGCCGCCACGGCAAGTACAGACAACCTTATGGCAAAAGCTCAAGTAAGCCACCTTGACAATGGAGGCACGGAACATGGCCCACTTGGACTCAATGTCCCCCACCTCCCCCGGAACGTATTCGAAGTTCCCCCGGAGGTGTGAGTTGAAGCTCCGTCTGATGAAAGACTCTGACAGACGTTCCCAGCAGACCCTCACTATACGTTTGTGTCTGCCAGGTCTGACAGGCATCCTCCCCCACCAACGGAGCCAACTTACCACCAGGTAGTGGTCAGTTGACAGCTCCACCCCTCTCTTCACCCGAGTGCCCAAAACATGCGGCCGCAGACCAGACCTCACTGTCATTACCCACATGTGCATTGAAGTCCCCCAGCAGAACGAGGGAGTTCCCGTTAGGAGCGCTCTCCAGCACCCCCTCCAAGGACTCCACAAAGGGTGGGTAATCTGAACTGCTGTTAGGCGCATAGGCAAAAACAACAGTCAGGACCCCCCCCCCCCCCCCACCTGTAGGTGGAAGGAGGCTACCCTCTCATTCACCGGGGTAAACCCCAACATACAGGGACCGAGATGGGGGGCAATAAGTAAGCCCACTCCTGCTCAGTGCCTCTCAGCATGGGCAACTCTAGAGTGGAAGAGCGTCCAACCCAGAGCCAGAGCGGTGTGTCGAGGTGAGTCCATCTATATCTAGTCAGAGCTCTCAACCTCACACACCAGCTCAAGCTCCTTCCCCACCAGAGAGGTGACATTCCATGTCCCTAGAGCCAGCTTCTGCAGCCGAGGATCGGACCACCAAGGTCCCCACCTTCGAGCACTGCCCAGCACACATTGCATCCGACCCCTATGGCCCCTCCTACAGGTGGTGAGCCCATGGGAAAGGGTACCCACGTCTCCTCTTCGGGCTGTGCCCGACTGGGCTCCATGGGTGAAAACCCGGCCACCAGGCGCTCTCCAACATGCCCCACCTCCAGGCCTGGCTCCAGAGTGGGGTCCCGGTGGCCGGGATCTCACCGGGACCACCAATCTCTATCCTGACTAGTCTGCCAGTTCCTGCTGCTGAAAATTATCCATATAGCATGATGCTGCTACCACCATGCTTGACTGTAGGGATGGTATTGGCCTCATGATGAGCAGTGCCTGGTTTCCTCCAAACATGACACCTGGCATTCACACCAAAGTGTTCAATCTTTGTCTCATCAGACCAGAGAATTTTGTTTCTCAGGTCTGAGTCCTTCAGGTGTCTTTTGGCAAATTCCAGATGGGCTGCCTTGTGCTTTTTTACTAAGGAGTGGCTTTAGCCTGGCCACTCTTCCATACAGTCCTGATTGGTGGATTGCTGCAGAGATGGTTGTCCTTCTGCAAGATTCTCCTCTTTCCAAGGAGGAATGTCTACTTTCATGCAATGGGCCTCAAATCTGCTTGTTTTGTTTTTCATTGACAAAGTATTTTATTTGTAATGACCACTCCAAACTCACTTCTCATATAAATACCAGAAGATCTTAAACAGCTACAACCCATATCCAAGTTCTGGTGCATTGGTGCTATACATATATGTGGGAAGTCATGCTATATGCTACCACTATGCGGTATCTAGATTTATAATTCATGATATGTAAAACAATAGATCTGATTTTATTTTTACCACAACTTTAAACTGTTGGAAAATCTGGTTCTACCATCAGGAATCTGCAGAGTTCTCAGACTCACAGAAAATAACAAACTTCTCACCATGTCTTTGAAGGCCTGTCCGTTGTAATAGGTCTCATTTGATGGGTAGTTGATACAATGGTGTTTTAGCTGTTCCACACGTTCAGCCACCACATGCAGCTCCTCTCCATCATAACCGTACAGCCTTCTATCCTCGCAAGTCATCAGGACGAACTCATCAGATGAACATGATGTTCCTTCCACCACACCTAAAATCTGCATGTTTACTATCTCAGGGAGGTAAAACTCCCCCCATTCATCCACTACATTTGGTTCATCTCTGTAAATGGTGTCTTCAAGTGCTGCAATCCTGAGTTTAGAGCCTGATGAGTTTTTTAAGATGAAATACTGGCCTTCATGTTTGCCAACAAACTTTGATACATATTCCAAGTATTCAGGGTCTGCAACTAATTCAGAAAACATGCAGAAATGTTGAAAAAAGTTTGAAAAAGGCAAAATCAGTTTCATGTAACAGAGAAAAAATTAGGTTAATCTTTACCTTCACTGAAATGATCCCAATCAATCCTAAAAAATTAGACAAGAGGTTCCGAATATGAGCAGAAATTGACGTGAAGATGAAAATTATTCAGAGGTGACAAATATTTGACAACGATTAGACTACAGATTTAATTTATTTTGGTACTGTAACACGGGTTCACAGAAACAAAAAAAATCCACCTTCTTTGTGATTTTGATATTTTCCGGGACATTGTCAGTTTTACTTACTCTGATTTTTTATTTTCCTCCAAATTCTGCTCCCCATATCCACTATCAAGTCCTGAGTCGTCTGTCTACATAGAAAAAAATTAGAGAAAAGACATACAGTTTTGAGACAAAGAAATTCCAAATGTTGTATCAGGACATAAAAAAATAAGATTTGTATCACAGTACTAGCCTGGTTTAAACAAGACCCTTTGCTTCGTACTGGACTTGCTGCATAGAGAATCGATTTCTTGCAGGAGGTGTGGCCTCTGCTAAAGCATGTGTGTTGTGGGTGTGAAGGAGGCTAAGCTAAGAAGCTAACCGGAAATTGCGTGCGCTGTAAACAACCCTACTGAGAGGAGAAATATACCGAGCCGAACGAGACGACTGTAAATGAGAGCTGCTGCTTTGTCAGACACTGAGCAAGAACATCAACGTCATTCAAAACTCCTTCTGTTCTCTGATTGGCTCAGGTAAAATAAACTACAAGCAGACACTGTGCAGAACATCAACATCATTCAAAACTCCACATTCTGTTTGCTGATTGGCCCAGGTAAAATAAACTACAAGCAGACACTGTGCAGAAAATCAACGTTCTGTTCTCTGATTGGCCCGGCTAAAAATCTGCCAGCGAAATCCATCTCAATGGGAGAAATCCCAGACGGAGCAGTGAAGGGAAACTAGAATTGAGCGGAGCTGCGTAGGAAGGCAAGGGTCCGGCTATCACTGAACAGGCCCCTAGTTAGATTTCTGAATGTGTGTGTGCGCGTGCGTGTGCGTGTATGTGTGTTTTTGAAAAAGTGGACCTTTTAAAGAGGAGTGTGAGGTTTTGCTCTGATGAGGGGCTTGCATTTCAATGGTTTAAGAAGTTTGAAAATCGTAATTCTGATGTACATGGACTGCTGACAATGTATCACTGGACTTTTTACGTTTTGTGTAGTATCACAGTGGTGATAAACATTAAACACGACATCATTTGAGAACCTAGAACATTTACTCATTACATGATTTTTGAAATAGCATTTTGATTTTTTTCTCTCTAACCAATGAGAGCCAATTATAGTTTCAAACTGTTACCCTGCATGGGATTCTGATATAATATTCAGAGAAATAATGTTTGGGACAAAAGGTTTAAGTGTGCAATACAAAAGAAAAAGAAGAAGAAAAAAATGAGTATACACTAAAATCCAATAGCTACCCTGAATTATAAACATTAGTACAACCTTAGCAATTTAGACTTGTATTCAAGTGTTACCTGCATTGTGAAAAGTGCCAAAAATACAAAACAAACACATGCATCATCTGTAGCATTGTTCACTGAAATGGCACACCATTGATGTATTAAAAATATACATACAGTAGGCACACTTCATGATATTGTAGACCATTAAGGAAAATAATAAGCAAGTACTTTTACTTTTAATACAAAGTATTTTTAAAAGTAAGTACTTACTTTTACTCAAGTAAAAATGTTAATGTGGTAATTTTACTTTGACTAGAGTACATTTTTGTCTGTTTATCTGTACTTTTACTTAAGTACAGTGTTTGACTACTTTCTCCACCACTGCTCCTCCACATCTACCTCTTGCCAAACTTGGGGAAAAAAAGACAAGCACAGACCAAGGCTGTAAGCGCTGTGGGTGTGTGGTCCTCACAAAGATAGATAGATCGATCGACAGACAGATAGAAATGTGTGTGATATGATGCATGATGAAAACTGTCCATGCTATATATTTTTTTAACATGTAGCACTGATGTGACAGCTTTGCAAGCTATTTTTTTTCTTTCAAGGAAGATACGACAGGTGAAGCTACAGCATGTTTAACTTATCAAAGTTTTTACTTTTATGTGTTACAGCAAGAATCACCAACACAGACCCTGCGTGCGACCAGGTGTCTGCATGTCGATCATGTTCAGTAATGCTGATCAACAGCACTGTTAAAATGATCAGATGAATGTACTTCAACTTTTAAAAAAGTAACCAGAGCCTTCTGTGAACTCAAAACACCATAAATTCAAGCAAAAGGAGCTGCTCTACAAGTCATGACTCAAGGAGCTGAGCGCGTTCCTCCCCTGCACAGACACAGACACTTTCATGAGCATTAACCCTTTATGGCCCAGATTATAATTGGTCTAATGTGGTAAATAATTTATTTTCAGTGACTGAGGACGTATTTTTTTTGTCTTTTTTATCTAAAAGAGTTTAGAGTTCTTCTGAAATATTACAAAGACAATGATTATTAGAAACAGAGCATGACTTGAGGATTTTACTGATAATGTTTTATTTAAGACATGTTACAGAAGTCATAAGAAGCAGGTTTATTTTGAACTGTCAAATATATTTACAAAATACACTAAACTGATTCAGATTAGCATAAAATTAATAATGATTTATAATTAAATGTCTGTTTCCTGCTATAAAGAAAAATCCTCTATCCATTTTGCCCTTGTTCCTAAGGCTCTGAGAAAAAATACGTTGGAAGCTGTTTTTTAAAGGGGCAATATTATGTGTTTCTCAGGCATACATTTAAATACTATACCATAATA